CTTGTAGTCAGCCTGGAGAGTCAACAGGTGGCGCTGTGACACCAGCTTCCCACTCGTACGGGGGAGTGGGATGAACGGGAGCTGTGCCTACATGTCCTGCAAGGGGTCCTGAGAGCTGAGTGACTCAACTCAACTTGAGAGTATGGCACCTAGGAGATGCTTAGGAAATTCTAAGTGGGTAGGGTCAGCAACAGGGATGGGGGCCCACCACAAGCATAAAATAGTCCAGTCCGGACTTGGGAGGACCTTTCTCCTTGCTCCTGCCCCACTTCCCGTTAAGCCTGTAGGAGGGAGACAGGAATGGTGCAAAGCACGTAGGAAGCACACCCCCCCTCCTTTGATATGGTTGGCCCTCTTTCTCTAGTGTCCATAGAGAGATTCACATTCTCCTCCCTTGTTTATTCAACCTTTTATAAAAGCACGAGAGCCCCACTCTGTCCAAAAACATCTAACCAAGAAAGCCAAATCGAATTCAGGTATTTGGGGATGACGTTTGTCTGTCAAGAATATATCCGGAGTCTCTCAAGGTTCATGTGCTGGCTTCTCCTTCTGTCAACCCAGTACCTTTGGGAAATCCCTTTGGCTCGTGAATTCTGACCTGTTGCCCAGAAGTGGGTGGCCAAGAGCAGCTACCTGGGCAGTAGGACAGGAACAACGGGTACTGTCATGAGAGGAAGAAGCTGTATCTCAGCCTTTGCTCCAGGCTGATGGCGCCTGAGCTGCTGAGACTTGGGGATTCTGAAGCTCAGCACTTCCCATCGTGGGCCCTATGGGGACTCAGCACTGAGGGGTCACACAAAGGGCATAGTGAAGCGACTGGGAGGGGCCAGGGGCGGAGGGTCACAGGGGGAGTGTTGGAACTGGATCTTGGTGGATGAGTTGAGGGCAGGCGTAAGAGCACGGGGCCTGGTGCGTGAGGGACAGTGAGATGTTTTAGAAGGCTGGCTCGTGGGCAGGTCTAGTTGGCCTGCTAGGGAGCGCTGCTCTTGGCTTAGCCTGGCGCGCTCTGGATTTGGGCCAGGGCGCTGGGCTCTGCCTCTGGCTGGAGTGAGTGTTTCCCCGAGTGCCTCCTCAGCTACCGCCGCAGTCACAAGGCTGGCTTGCTCATCTACACGGGTTTGACATGGTGCCTTGCTACTGCTGTTTCCTATCACCCCATCGCTCGACTGGCAAGCTCCGTGTCTGCCTGTGTCCCCCTTGGTGTGGCTGGGTTGGGGGAGAGCCAGGGCCCCGGACCCGTATCCAGCCCTAGCCTACGGCGCAGTCTTACATGTGGGAGGGGGAGGTCACATCCAAGGCCTTGGGGGATCTCGAGGTCAAAGGTGCAGTCCCTCACCTGGAGGTGTTGGTAGGTGGGCAGCCAGACAAGAGGGATGATGAGGAAGAGAACGATGCAGCCAGATGAGAGACAGGTGAGAGTCAGGAGAACCTTTTTGGGGAGCAGATGCTGATTTAGCTGGGTCTTGAGTCATCAGCAGGAGTTCACAAACAGAAGGGAGGAGCCATTGTAGACTGCAGGGCTGAGTGCAGTGGCACAGAGACAAGGCATGTTCCAAGAAGGGCCAGTGGTGTGGTGTTACTGGAGCCGAGGGCCATGTGCCAGCCAAAGGCCAAGGGCGGGTGTTGGAGGGGTTGAAGCAGAGGGTGACATGATAAGATTGTCTTGAAGAAAGATTGCCTGGCTTTTCTCTGGGCATGGATTGCAAAGCTGCACGATTGCAGGTCACGGGTCGGGAGGTGACCAGTTAGCAGCTGTTAAAACCACCCAGGAGAGGAGTGGTAAGGGCCCTCCCTGTTGGTGATAGGGATGGCTGGGGATGGTCTGGGGGTGACATAGAACTAGACGATGGCTTCAGGGGAGGAGGGAGGGGCCTAAGGTGGCGCACGGGCCCGAGAGCGGGGCTGTGCAGGGCCGGTCTGGCCCTCCCGGACAGGCTGAGCTGGGCGTGTCTCGGGGACACCCAGGGGCTGCCTTCTAGTAAGCGGTTGGGTGTAAGGGTCCTGGCCGAGATAAACCCTGTCAGGGAGGAGATTGGCGGGCGGCCAGGGTTGCTTGAATCAAGGGCAGGGGAGGATTCCACGACAGAGACTTGTCAGCTGCTCTAAGTGCTGCAGAGCGAACACCTCTAGGACTCCAGAGCACTCCTTGGGTTGGGCGGTTATGGCATCGGTGGGCCTGTTGGTGGCTTGGCCAGGCTATGGCCTAGGAGGTTGGCATAGGTTGAGGAATGGAAGGAGGAGAAGAGGAGCTTGGGTAGATGGGAGGGGACAGCGGTGAAAAGTGAGGTTCCCGGAGGGAAGAATTGTCCAGAATCTTCCTGAGCTGGGTTGGAGGAGCAGGTCTAACACAAAGGGAGAGGGCGTGGATGGCACAAAAGACACATGGGGGCTGGGGGTGCCGGCCTAGGAGGTTGGCATAGGTTGAGGAATGGAAGGAGGAGAAGAGGAGCTTGGGTAGATGGGAGGGGACAGCGGTGAAAAGTGAGGTTCCCGGAGGGAAGAATTGTCCAGAATCTTCCTGAGCTGGGTTGGAGGAGCAGGTCTAACACAAAGGGAGAGGGCGTGGATGGCACAAAAGACACATGGGGGCTGGGGGTGCCTGCCCTCGCCGAGGAGGAGACCCTCACTAATGAGAGCTGCGAGCTAGGGCAGGGGGCCTGCAGGCCAAGGCTTCAGGAGGGCAGAACCGCT